CACCTACAGAAGTGAGTATAAGGTTTTTTTAATGAATCTTTGCAAATCGCCTTTCCTAATAATTAGCTAATTAGCAAGTTTCACGATGATTGCAGCTAAAGTAAACAGACCCTCGGAGAGCAGCTTGGAAGAGAGGCGGGGTCAGCAGAGCTCATTAACATTTAAAGGAAAATGCTACAAAACGGCTTGCTCTGAAAAGAGCTGTTTTTGACAGGGTAAAAAAGGTGTTTTTTTTACCCTACCATTGAGAAATTTTAACCAAACTATGTTACAGACTTTTCATTTAGACCCTAAAGAATCATATCAACTTGTGGAAAATAGACATCCAATGACCCCTTTAACATTGTACTCATGGAAATTACTAAAGTAGTCAAACCTGTTCATTAGAAGGGTGTGTCCCAATACTTTCGCCTTTTACGTTTCCATGAAATAAAAAGTCATGTTGGTTTAGAACAGCATGAGGGTGCTTATTATTATTGTTGTTATTATTATTATTATTAATGGTGAACATTTCTTTATTTTCTTATTTATTTGTAGTTTTTGTTAGGGTGGTTGGATAAATCATGGCCAGCCATGTGTTAAAGAGATAACAGATTCATGGAAATGGCGTGTATTCTTGGAAATGACATGCGGCACTCTATTAAAACACTAAATTTACAGATATTTTTTGATGAAATACGTTTGCTTATTTGCTCTCACCCACAGAACAAATATCTTATATATGAGATGTAGGACTTTAATACTGGTGTAGATGCTGATTGAATGTGATTACAAGTTGTGTTAGTGAAACTTAAACGGCAATAACAGAAAGAAACTCATCTGTCAAGAAATCTGAATCACAAACTAATCATTTAGTGTTTTAAGAATATGTCTCTTTTGCTTCCTTGTTTTCCGTGAAAAATCTGTTGTGGAAACCGTATTGGCACAGAAATAAACAGCCCTCACACAAATTAGATAAAGAAAATGAAACGACTGCCTTAGAGTGGTTTGGCAAGAATAGCACTGTCCACAAACACACACGAAAAACACACCTGTGCACAAATGTGGGATACATATAGTTCTCATGAAAACGTGTCAAGGTCATATTTCATCACAAAATACAATTGTTTTATTTCTTTTATTATTTGCTTTTACTGTATTTATTACTGTTAGAGCAAAGAAACATTCTATTCAGACCCTTTTTTATGTAAAAGTATTACAAAAAATACCATGATACAGAAACGTTGTATACAATGCAATACAATACAGTTTTTTGTTTTTTTTTGGAATATAGTAAAAAGAATTTGGAATATGTGAATTAAATTATTTAATTTTATTGTTTAAGCTACAGATATAACCATGGTCTTTTCCCCCCTCTTTTGATTAAGGTGTTATATATTGCCTGGACATGTTTTATACAGGTTATGTGAGACTCGCATAGCTGGCAGCTTTTCAGGAGCAACTGTCCGGATGGTCGCAACCTCTTTTGAGGTCACCGTCTCCAAAGGGACAAAGACAGCAACAATGAGCTGATGAAATAGTGAACGTCTAACTCCTCTCTCTTCCTCTCCCCCCCCGTTGTGAGATTAATGCCACGTGGAGGAAATATAACAGATAGTTTAATTAAGTGCCAGGGCACAAGATTCATCGACTAATTTCTGCGGCTGACAGCGCAAATGAGGGTTCAAAGGTGCGAGCCGAGGAGACACCCTTGAGTGGCTCTGTGTTTAATGAATTGAGCTCTTTCCCTATAAAGTTCCTGCGTAAAACAGCACACGCATTAAAGCTAGCCTTCAATGTGTCAGGACAGCCTACCGTCCTCATATACTACACCAGCATACCTGCCTGGAGAGAACACACACTCATGCCCTCTGTACTTACACTTTAGCCACACAGGTATTGCACAAGCGCCATGAAGATCTGCAGAAATGCATTCATTAGAATGGAAATGGTGTCTTTTATAATGATATATAGCTTAATGAAGACTTTATGAAGATCTAGATTGCTGCATGGCTGACCCCCAAAATGAGATTCAGGGATAATTCACCCCAAAATGATTATTCTGTCATCATTTACTCACCTTCGTGTTTTCCCAAGCCAGTATGACTTCTTTTCTTCTGTGAAACACAAAAAGAGAAGTTTTGAAGAATGTTTAGGCTGGTCTTGTCCCTGCAATGGACAAGTGAATGGAATGTAGGACTGTTACATTTAGATTTAAACAAAATCAGTTCTTCTGATTTGATATATACAATATATATATTGTATATATCAAATCATATATTGTCACACTTTAATGTTTCGGATCATCAAACTAATTTAAATATTAGTCAAAGATAACACAAGTAAACACAACATGCAGTTTGTAAATGAAAGTTCTGATTACTAAGGGAAAGCAAAATCCAAAACTGCATGGCCCTGTGTGAAGAAGTGTTTGCCCCCCTGTTAAAACTGTGGTTTATCACACCTGAGTTAAATTTCTCTAGCCACTCCCAGGCCTGATTACTGCCACACCTGTTCGCAATCAAGAAATCTCTTAAATAGGACCTGCCTGACAAAGTGAAGTAGACCAAAAGATCCTCAAAAGCTAGAAATCATGCCGAGATCCAAAGAAATTCAGAAACAAATGAGAAAGAAAGTAATTGAGATCTATCAGTCTGGAAAAGGTTATAAACCCATTTATAAAGCTTTGGGACTCCAGGGAACCCCAGTGAGAGCCATTATTCACAAATGGCAAAAACATTGAACAGTGGAGAACCTTCCCAGGAGTGGCCGGCTGACCAAAATTACCCCAAGAGCACAGCGACGACTCATCCAAGAGGTCACAAAAGACCCCACAACAACATCCAAAGATCTGCAGGCCTCACTTGCCTCAGTTAATGTTATGGCGCATTTCCACTGCGTGGTACGACTCTGCTCGGTACGACTCAGTACGGTACGGTACGGCACGGTTCGGCTCAATTCCTCCACAGCGCTGTAACAGACTCATTGCAAGTTATCGCAAACGCTTGATTGCAGTTGTTGCTGCTAAGGGTGGCCCAACCAGTTATTAGGTTTAGGGGGCAAACACTTTTTCACACAGGGCCATGTAGTTTTGTATTTTGTTTTCCCTTAATAATAAAAACCTTCATTTAAAAACTGCATGTTGTGTTCACTTGTGTAATCTTTTACTAATATTTAAATTTGTTTGATGATCTGAAACATTAAAGTGTGACAAACATGCAAAAAAATAAGAAATCAGGAAGGGGGCCAACACTTTTTCGCACCACTGTATGTATGTGTATATATATATATATCACTGTGTTATCAATATATTCTTACAGTAGGTATGGGCTTAGTTGCTTCCAATTGTGCATACTTAACTGTTATTACTATAGAATATATGTAATGTAAGAATGACACATTTAATTAAATAAATAACACTTTAGGTTAATTTACTACATAATGAATATGTTTTGAGATGTTATAATCATAATGTATCACAATCATGTTTTATGAATGATTCCCTTTCAGAGATTAGATAAAATAAAATTTTACCTCTGATGTAATGAAAATAAAAAATAGGTACATTTTTTGAGTGGGGAAATGATTGATAGCATAAACCTTCGAGGCGTCCCTGCGGATATATTGCTATCGATAATAATGAATGATGTGTGAATAAGTAGACCATGCTTATGTTTTCACAGTCCCTCGTATTTGCATGGCAGTCATAACAACACTATTAATTATTTATTCGCTTCAGTCTTCATTTTGCCCTGACAAAGAAACTGCGCAAGAAACATCAGGCTCTCATATCAGAAAGGTTCAGTTTCAGAAAAAAAATAAAAAAAAGTTTTCCCCAGAAGGCTCTTGTATTCATAGCACATTTCATCTATTGTATGAATTTTAAAACCAACCTCTGTTTTAAAATTTAGATTTATCTTTGATGTCAAATAAAATGTATGCACATTACACTGCAGCCTCTTGTCAAGGCCCTGAGAAATGACTAATCCACATTCAACATTATGATCGCTGCCATGAACCCTCGAAATATGCAATACAGATACGAAATGAGAAATATTTGGTACTAAAGTGCTTTTTCACTCTTTTAAGGCTCTGCAGGGACTCTTTGTCCATTTTAAAAGTCCAATTTGCCTCACTGAGATTTATTCTCTTGGGTTAAAAAAATACACACTTATGCAGTGCTTATTGAAAGCGTGGTGTGCCTATTGAATTCAAATGTTATTGGCTGAATCCTGTTTTGCAGGCTATCTGCACTATTAGATATGCTGATTAGTGCGTCTCAAATCATTATATGTTGAAAACAGTTTATCAGAGACACCTTGATGTCACCGTATTTGTAGTGTATTTGCTATTCCGAACATATCAATGAATATTTGAATTAAATACTACTTTTTGTAGTATGTATACTGTACGTACATTTTCTGTACTCATCCTTCTAATTCTAATGACAAATCAGACATGATTTCGAACATCTTTCTTCATTTTATTTCATCAGAAAAGGAAGGTAAAAGTATTATTGTACAAACCTGAACTGAATGCAAAATAGCTGTTTAAGCCGTGTTTATTTCCAAGATAATAGCTGGTCGGTGCTCGCTGAACTAAGCATGTGCACAGCTGGGCCTCATTCAGGAAAAATGAGCAGAACAACTTTCAGCAGAAGTCATTTGTTTAAGTATTCTTGCATAAATTGCCATTCAGTTCAGTGGGACAGTTTACGTAAGAATGGTTTACAGAGCACCATGGTGAATGTAGGCAACGGACTGGTGTTATCAAGACCTGTTTGCATTTTTTTTTTTTAAGTTAACATGAAGTCAAAACTGATCCCCTTTTTAACACTTCCATGGTCTTACTGTAAATAATTCATAGTTCACATTATTCATTGTTAGTCAATTTGAAAAAAAAAATAGTCCTGCAAAATCTTGATCTGACTGATTATTAATAATTGAGTCCATTCATGATAGAAAAAAACCATACTGCTAATTTGAGACTTTTAGTCTAATAAATATCTTTTCTTTCCTCAGAGGAGCTTCGGAAGTTGAGCTGGTCTGGAATTCCGCGGCAGGTGCGCCCAATCACATGGAAGCTACTCTCAGTAAGTGGAACAGTCTCAGCGCACAGTGAAGTCCTGCTTCAAATGGTCAAGCTCGTTAGAGAACTACAGCGTACATCCATTACAAGATGAATCAAATAATACATAATGCATTCTACATAAATACACATTTATAAGTCATTAGGCTTCCTACTAATGATTTCTAGGATGATTTCCGCCTGGAAGCTCAGAGGTCCAGTCGAATGAAAACTAATGGTACATTAAACCATTTCAGTGGTTGGGCAAAACCTGAAACAGTGAATATACAAAACCTTTTTCTGTTAGACAGACCTTTGAACCACCTGAGCTGAAACATATGCACTTGCTTATTTTTTATCACACAAGATGCTCCTTGGAACATTCTCAAATCATGCTGAGAAGACATGGATCATGCTGTTTTGTCCATGCCAGCTGGAATGCCTGCTGTCATTAAAGCTCTTTCTTTCTTTAACTTTGTGCTCTATAAACAGGGTTCAGAAAGAAAGTGTTTTTGCTGAAAAAATAAAAACAAATTAATAATGGTAAAATAAAACAGTAAGTGCACTTTAAAAACATCATCTAGAAATGTTAACTCTTTCCCCCTCAGCATTTTTGAAAAAAGTTGCCAGCCACCGCCAGCGATTTTTATGATTTTCACTAAAATTTGATGGCCTCCAGTATATTTTGCTGTATGAATATTTGAATATGCAATACACCAAAATAAAGATCAGAGCCTCTACTTTTAAACAAAAAAAAATCAGTTTTATTCTAGCTTAAAGGGGTCATATGATACGATTTCAATTTTTCCTTTCTCTTTGAAGTGTTACAAGATCTTGGTGCATAAAGAAGATCCGTAAAGTTGCAAAGACTAAAATCTCAAATCCAAAGAGATATTCTTTATAAAAGTTAAGAGTCAACCACGCCTACCTAAAACGGCGCGTACTTACACGTCCCCACATGTCTACGTCACGATGTGGGAAGATTTGCATAACTCGCTGTGGATCACCGGATCGGCTTTCACCGTGGACGAAGCGGAGTCCAGGTCATCACATGTGGTTGCCGCAAGCCTGCCGGCCGCTCCTTCGTCGAATCCACCGGCCGCACTGTTCTCAAGCCCGCCGGCATCCACTCACTCTAGCCCGCCGTGTGTTTCGTTGTGAAAGCGAAACTACTTTGTTTGGTCTTCCAAAAGAGGACACGACTAGAAATCAGTGGTTAAGTTGTATTAACAACACTGTTCCAGAACACTTCAACCCAAATATTCAGATGTGTGCAGCACATTTTATGGAGGACTGTTTCCTGATCCTGGAAGAGTAGACTACAATGTTGGCTGTTCTGATTCACAGACTGTAAGTACGTTTTCATTTAAAGGATTTGCCACTGATGATTCAAACGCGAGTTTTGAGCAGTGTAGAGTAGCGCTTGTTTGTCATTTCTCCGATCACAAATGCAGACATGATTTTATGTTTACGCGATGCAACGCAATGCGTAAAAAGACCGTATAAGTCATTATAATCAGTAATTATGTCCCCACTGGATGCAACAAATGCCTATTTATAATGGGTTTTAATGTTTTTGAATCGTCGCTCCGGCCGGACAGGGCATCACAGTATGGTAAGGGTCGTGACATTTCCGTCACACGCTTGAGGTATTCGGCCAATCACAACGCACTGGATAGCTGGCCAATCACAGCACACCTTGCTTTTCAGACCGATGAGCTTTGTAAAAATCGACACGTTTCAGAAAGGCGGGGCATAGAGGAGAAACAATAATACAATATGTGGACAATAATGTGTTTTTTGAACTTTAAACCGCATAAACACATTTCATTACACCAAATACACAAAATAATGTTCCTTTTATCAACATCATATGACCCCTTTAAAGCATTTGTTTTTTTTATCAACACTTGAGTATCGGTAGGTTTCATAAAAAATTTGTAATTTTGAGCAAAAAGGTGAGAATCACATTTTTATCAAAAACTACATCTGGATAATATTCAGTATGATTATCAAAGCATAAATCCAGTAAATCACTTCCATTAACACCTCCAAAGCTTGCATAGACACATACCACGTCCTGGATCAACATTTTACTCTGTAATATTATGCAGTTTTCATTTATATGCTGTCTATTGCTGATGTTTGCATTGTTTTTCATATGCATCTGTTTACATAAAAGATCGCTAGTTTCTCCGTCCTGTTCACGTGTGTTTTTGTTCAGGAGGTTTTGTGCTCATTCAGAAGATGCGTAATAGCGCTCCCGAGTGTATAACAGTGAAAACACGGAAAGCCGTAAAAACTCGTCTTTGGCGGGGAAGCGTTTTCTTGTAAAAGACGAGATAACTCGTCAATGACTGGGAAAGAGTTAACATCAATTTCTGCACCTAACCTCAACTACCCATGGCAGATGTGCCTACGTTTTTATGTTGCTTACTGGAAATGTCCCTCCTAATGAGGTACTTATTGGATAATTTAGTAATAAGCCCTGGCTAAAAAGTCCAGAGGAGAAAAAAAAGGTCCATTTGGTTTGAGTTCTACAGCCAGAAACATAATTAATGCAAGTATGCAAATTAATATGTGTGAACAAGGCATTGCATACATGCGGTCTTGTTGGTTGTTCATGCAATTCTGTTGCATTAGCAAACCTTGGTACTCAAGTTGGTGATAAAGTTACCTTCAAATTTGTCTGTCAAATGCACATACTACTGTGACCAAATGTGTTGGCTTGTTTTTACACACCTCCGAAGAAAGAGTTTCTGGAACAACTACTGCAGGCGCGTGTTTCAGATTAAGTTTGTTGTGACTAGAAATACTTTTCGTAATGTTTGATACTTTTGCAGCAGTGCTGACAGTGTGTCACATTGTATTACGCAATTGCATTCTGACACATTTCGGGATACAACTGCACATGAAATGGGGCTTGCATAGCTAGAAGTGTTTACACTCCCCTGCCTCTCATGTAGACTGACGCTGATTCGAACCCCTCATGGAGCGGTGTGAATTCAGACCAGTTAAATTGGTGCCGTGACCCGGATGGGAGTTTGGTTAAGGGGGAGAGCTTGAGGCCAGGTGGTAAGATCTGTGCAGTTAAACCTCCTTCCCCTTGTCTCAAGAGGTGCACAACCTGCATATTAAGGAAGGAGAAAGCATTTTAACATTTTAAAAATTACACTTTTCAACTTTAAAAATGGATGAAAGATATCAGGTATGTAATTGGTGTAAAGTTTCCCCCATGACAGGACAGGCATGATGAGGGGGTTATATGTGGTCGTACCCTCTGACACACAGACAGGCGGCAGTGTGCCCTCCTGCCACACTGATAGATGAAGTGTCAGTCTGGAACAGGATGGAATGGAGGAGGATATTTGATATTCTGACCCCCTTCTAGGCTAGTGTGTAGTCACACACACACAGAAACATCCAATTCACCCGTGTGACCTTCATTTGCCTACGGCTACCTCATCTGTCATCTTGACTCGAACCCTGGACTGCAGCCCCACTCAATCAAACCCCATCGATCCACACTATTGAGCTCCTGCACAGGTGTGTGCATTGTGAGTTCATCGGTGTGTGTGTGTATTTGTGTTTGAGTGAGTGTAGCGTGAGTGTGAACAGCTGGAAAGCATCCTTTAACAAGAGTAATGACCGGCGGAGGGCAGCGTCACCGTTTGAACAGGCGCTTTAACGTGTGATCAATTCTGTGCATCCTGCTGACGTCTCACAAACTGCCACCGAACTGCGCTCAACAGTTTCCTAAGAAGAAATAATTTCTCTTTTGTCAGCTAGAAAATAAAGATTTTATTAGTGTTTTTTGCTAAGGCAAGAATTAGTATTGCTATTTCTCATACACCGAACTCTATTTTGTACAAATATTTTATATATATATATATTAGTGGTGTCAAAATTAGCGCGTTAACGCAGGCGATAAATGTTTTCAGTTTAACGCGTTAAAAATATTTAATGCAATTAACGCAGGGGCGGGGCTATGGTTGGCCACCCCACTCACAACTGCTGTTTCTGTCACTTTTTCTCTTGACAAGAAGTGCATTTATTCAGTCGCAGAACGACTGAGAACGGGAGACGTTTCACATGCGCGCTCCACTTTACTTCAGCGCCAGGCGCGAGTCAAGTTAGCGTGGAAACGGTACTGTGCTCGCAGCGCGTGATCTTCAATTGCACACACAAAGGTGCCGGCGCGCGCTGTAGCCTGTATCCTTTCATGTCAAAGTGTGAAATAAACTACATGCATGCAATGTCATTAAGTCATGAAGTTACCAAAAAGGCTATTAAAGCTGCCTTAAAACTGTACATGCATGTAATATATTTTATATGAGTCACATTTAATAACATATCGCTGAAATGGTTTTCAAAACTGTCCTGGAGCAGCCCAGTACTGTCTCACTCATTTAACACACCCGATTTAACTCGTCAGCTCATTAATAGACTTTAAGACCTGAAGTGGGTCAGAAAAGGTAAAAAAGAGTTGAGAGAAAATATAATGCATGTCAGATCCACGTCACGTTCAGCAGCAGCAGCTCTTAAAGAAATAGCATCCAAAATAACCTAATAACCAGCTGCTGTGATGTCTGTTAATCAAAGGACAAAGAAAAAAAAGTCCTTCTGTAGTAAATTGATGCGTTTTTGTATATTCAAAACGTAATAATCACTTTAATGTAGCTTGCGCCAGCAGTTGTACAAAGAAGCAGCTCCGGGAGGATGACGTATGAGGTCAGCGTTGCGCATGCGCCAGTGAGTCTTGTGAAAACCTACGTTTGTTAACAGGAGCAAAGTTTCCTTACTTTAGCAAAGGAAAACCAGTCTCCTCTTGGCTTATATCGAAATCCTCTCACATTCTTCTTTACAAATCCTTGTTTTGTACTTCTAATTAGTGACCGTTGTTTTGATCTCTCCGCTGCGCTTCCGCGTTCGTCACTTCTGAGGGGCGCATGCACAACGCCAACCTCATACGTCATCCGCCCAGAGCTGCTTCGGTTTACAACAGTGAGCCCAAGCTAGATTAAA